AGAAAGTGACTTTCACTTAGACAAGCCTTAGGTCACCGAAAAAATTACACGATGACTAAGTTCTTTCTTCCCGGTTAACGCTGGAATGACGCACAGCGATCTTTTCTCACTAATGCTCTGATACCATGTGAGAAGGCACGGGAGAAAATATGTTATTGATATTGGATGATAAATACAATACAAGAGGTCCTTATTTATAGCTATACACTACAAGGAGATATTACTCCTCTTCCAATGTGGGACAAGACTACACTATACATATCTATAAACTAACATAATAGTATGCACTTCATATTACGATTCCAGAAACTGGACTTTCTCCTTGATAAAATGTACATGATAATTCAAGGACTCGACCAAATAGCATATGCCAAGAAAATGGGATTTCTCACTATTCTAATATAAGATAATTATTGTTTTAATAAGCTTAGTACATATACATAACTATTTTTCTTCATTTGCTGCTTTTCCTTCTTTATTGATAGAGCGAGTATCTTCCACCTTAGTTGATGACAATTTGGTCAAGAAGATTATCCCACCTTGAGCAAATGAGAAGCACATTATACTATGATGTGTAAAATAGACATGCTTCTAAAATATTCTGGGTTGGAATATTTGCATATCGTGGGTTGATATTAGTTAAAAGCTGTTATTTTCACTTTGAAAGTATGGAAGCTGTTCTTTGTTTCTACACTGTCAATATACACAGCTATAACACCTCAGTCTCAAACTAGTTGAGATTGCCATACGAATCCTCTATGTCCACTCCATTCTATAGCCTGTTTGGCCAAGCTTAAAATTGAGAAGTGTTTTTTCTCAAAAGTACTTTTGCGGAGAAGCAGTTTGTGTTTGGCTAATTAAGTTGAAAAACACTTCTAAGCAGCAATTAGTGTTTGCCAAGCTTTTGAAAAAGTGCTTCAAGTGTATTTTTCTCAAAGCGCTTTTCAAAAAAGTTCTTTCGGGGAGAAGCTACTTTTTTCTGCTTCTCCAAAACTGCTTCTGCTTCTACTCAAAAGCATTTTTTTTCTTCTAAAAGCTTGGCGAAACACTTCAACTTTAAAAAAAAAGCACTTTTTTGAAAGAAAAAAAAAAGTGCTTTTGGCTACGGAGAAGCTTGGCCAAACAGGCTACTATTATCATTCAAATACTCAATAAGTTCTTCTCTGAGGCAATTTAGAGGTTCTCTGGCTAAAGATCCTCTAAATCTCTTGTTTGTCCCTACAATGACATAGAAATCTCTTGACAAATCCAACACGACTAAACTTTAATCCCGACTAGTTAGTGTCGTCCGTATCGATCTTTTTCTTCCATTTTGTTTTGCTCTTTATTAGGTTTGCACTGATTCCAAGGGATTGTAGGTGGCTGTTATCTAAAGCAGTCTCCAGAACATTGTTAAAATAGGGTTTCGGTCACCCAAGTCTCGTCCGAGTTTATTGCAATTCATATTGGTCAATTTGGACCTTTAGTCAACCTTAGGGAACTACGAAACTGGTAAGCATGTGTGGCACTAGATTCTTTAGTTTGCATGAAACAGACAAAGATCGCAACCTTTTGGTTCTGCAGTTCTGCTTGTAAGAGGATTTTGAGTTCTGTGGAAGTCCCTATGTTTTACAGTACTCAAGAAAGGTCAACTATCACAAATGGAGTTAGACGCTGGAAGGAATTTTTCTCCGGGACATACTGCTGAGCTGAAGCTAATGCGCCATCGCGCTGACTTTGGAGGAGAGGGAACTAATGACAATAAAAGAATTAGTTTTTTCTTATAAAACTTCTGATATCATGTGAGATATAAGAGGAGATTGGGAGTACACATGAAGTGTCTTATGCTTAGGAATATAGATACTTTATACAATACACATTTACATGCTTTAGATGTGGGACACTATCACAAGTCTATGTTTATTTACTCGTGTGACTATATGTAATCTGACAACCTAATTTTACAGTTGATATGCCAATCTTATCTGCTCATTTTTTGTACTTCACATTCGTGCGAAGTAATTTTGTTCCTACTATCTGTTTTATCCTTGTGTGCTTTTCTGTTTTTATTTTGGTTGCCCCTCAAATAGAGGGGTTTTGACGGTTGCAGGAAAGAAAAGAGAGGATAACCTTCCGATTTTCCTATAGACTGTCTGAGTTAACCACAGCTTTGGCAATATATTTTTTCTTTTGGGTCGTAGAGAGCTGCAAAACCTGCATATCCATGTAGCTTTAACTCAATAAAAACTATAACATTTGTTTGTTATGCAAGGAATGCTAAGGGTGGATACTATGCTTAAACTTTGATGGTTGCCATTTCAGGTCTGTTTGCAATGACAGAGCAAAGATTAGCCCTCCATGGGAAGCCTCAAGTTAACTGGTTAATGTGCCCAACGTGTAGACAGCATACTGACTGCAGAAATATTGCTTATGCTGATGACAGTCAGAATAAGTCATATCCATCTTCTTCAATAGCCTCTGAGAATTCTGAAGCATCTGTAAATGTCCGAGGTTCATATAGCACAAAGGTACTCCTTACTTTCATCCTCAAGATTCGAATTATATTTATCATTCAACTGTACTTTCCTAGCAACTTCCTTTGCCCCAATATTATTTCATGATCTACTCCCTTCTCCCCCATATTAGATAACTTAGTCCTAATATTGCAAAAATTAGGAGTAAAATATTCGTAGAATTTATTTTATAAAATTTTATAAACAAGTGATTAAGATAATGATTTGAAATGTGAAGACTAAAGAAGGAAAATTAGTTTTCAAAATAAATAATGTAGAATAGTATAATATACATCAGATTAGATGTGGGGGGGTGGGGGGAGGGGGGATTCTGCTATTTAAGAAGTTGTATCAAGTATCTTGGGACAAAAGCAAGTACTTGGTAGACGGAGAGCCAACTAACTTGTTTTGACTAAAATATGTCAAATCATTGCATATTGTCGCAGTTTTGATTAGCTTTACTTTTAATACATAATGCCTCAACCAGTGTTGTAAATAGCGCTCGCCTCAGCGCTAATAGCGTGAGGCGTAGCGATGCGAGCTGTCGTCGCTTTTCTTCTCTGTTGCGTTGCGATTTACAGAAAGCGCTTGCCTCTGCCTGTGTAGCGAGAGGCGACAGTGTAGCGAGATGCGACTATAGCGTCGCTTTTTAAAAAAAAAAGAAAAGCAAAAGGGCAGAGACTAAAGAAAAAGGTCGCGATTAGGGCTTTGAGCTCTCAGAAGTTTCTTTCTTCTTCAACCTTCGAACAACAGAGCAGCCAAGTCGACCCAAGGAGATTTCGACCCAGCCCAGCCATCTTCTTCATCTGAAAGCTTCAAGTTTCTGCCATCTTCTTCTTCATCCAAGTCGACCCAGCCCAGGTATGCTTCTCTTCTTCTTCGAGTTTCCTTTCTTTATTCTTCTTCTTTCTTCTTTCTTCTTCTCTTCTTCTTTCTATTTTGTTTTTGCTCTGTTTTTTGTCGAGCAGCAGTGCAGCAAAAAATAGAACATATATGTCTGTTTTTGTGCTCTGTTTTTCGAGCAAGCAGCAGAGGCAGAGCAGAGGCTCTTTCTTTCTTTCTTCCCTTCCTCTTTCTTCTCTTATTTTGTTTTGGCTCTGTTTCGAGCAAGCAGTAGAGGCAGAGCAGAGGCAGTAGAGTCTCTTGTTTTAGACTTTTAGTTTATGAATCTACTATGACTATCTATTGAGTTTTTAATTTTTGAATTGATATATTTATTAATATATTATTGTTATTGAGTTTTTAGTTATATATATAATATTTTATTTTTTTGCATAAATTGTCGCTTCACACTCTCGCCTCAGTGAAGAGGGCCCTCGTCGCTATTTGTCGCGGCACGCTATCCAAAACACTGGCCTCAACCAAACAACACTTGAACCGAATATGGAACTGAGTCATTCATTTTGTGGCAGCGGGAAATTATGAATGTAACAACAAAAGTTGTTCTTTTTTTTTGACCTTGGAAGCAGATACAGTATTCCCACTTAAGTTATACTACAATGTATGCCTCTGTTAGATAGTTATGTATAAATAGTAGTCCCGTATGTAATAGGAGTAGAATATGTCCTAGTCCCATATATAGTAGGAGTAGAATATGTATTATATATAGGACTCATTATATCAATGTTAAAAAACAGATTTTTCTCCCGTGCATTCTCACATGGTATCAGAGTTTCAGTGAGAAAATTATCGTTGTACGTCATTCCAGCGACATTCGGGAAGAAAGATCTCATCGCCGTCCAATTTTCCGGCAACTTCGTCTTGTTCCCAGGGTTCATCACTGCTACAGTGGTACTGTACATATACCAATACCACCATCAGATCCGAAACCCTTGTGCGACCAAACCCAGAAATCCCAATCCCATTGAAACAGAAAAGCCAGTCACCATGCGTCTTTCCGGTTGGCGACTCAAGATTGATTTGTGTTATCTCCCCATTGGTACTGTTGTGCGAAAGCCAACACTACCATCTTGTTCGGAAAAGTCAGGCGACAAAACCCCAGTCAATCGCTCCGGCAGAAAGTCCCTCACACGCCTCCACGCATCGCCAGAATTAGGGTTCCGGCGAGCTACGGTAACTTTTCCGGCGCGTTTGAGCCATTCCGGCCACTTTTTGACAAAATTTCTTCAGGACAACTTACTCGTCCAGTGGTTCGTGCCTACCCATATAAATTACATCAAATTCTGACAATTTTTATTTTTTCAGGCGTGAACAGTGCACTTTTTCCGGCGTGAACAGTGACTTTCGGCGCGAGCAGTAATTTTCAGAAAAGTTTCTGTTTTCTGGTAGTGTTTTAGAACCTATTCTGTAGTGTGGAATTCGGCTTAGTCTCGCTATTTTCAAATTTTTCCGGCGACGTTTTGGCCAACTTCTGTTTATCAGCAACCACCTGGATTTGTTGCTCAGGGGAAGTCTAGTGGCCTTGTATGTCGAATGATCAGCTTGCAGATATTTTCACCTCGTATTAGTTACATATGTAACAAGTTCGGTATTGGCTTGAGGGGGAGTGTTAGATAGTTATGTGTAAATAGTCCTAGTCCCATATGTAATAGGAACATGTCTGTGAAGATGCGGACTATCTGCACCTGGACAGAAAGACCCTATGAAGCTTCACTGTTCCCTGGGATTGGCTTTGGGCCTTTCCTGCGCAGCTTAGGTGGAAGGCGAAGAAGGCTTCCTTCCGGGGGGCCCGAGCTATCAGTGAGATACCACTCTGGAAGGGCTAGAATTCTAACCTTGTGTCAGGACCTACGGGCTAAGGGACAGTCTCAGGTAGACAGTTTCTATGGGGCGTAGGCCTCCCAAAAGGTAACGGAGGCGTGCAGAATATGTCCTAGTCCCATATATAGTAGGAGTAGAATATGTATTATATATAGAGCTCATTATATCATTGTTAAAAAACAGATTTTTCTTCCGTGCATTCTTACAGCCTCATTATATTTTAAACAGTAGAAGAGGTACTTCCTTTAGTTGTTGTGCATTTTCAATTAATTGATGGAAGTTGTATTCTAGATTGAAGCTGTCACCAGGAGAATTTTATGGATCACTTCCTCGAACCTAGCAGCAAAGGTTCTAGTCTTTAGCAGTTGGAATGACGTGCTTGATGTGTTAGAGCATGCGTTTGCAGCTAACAACATAACTTTTGTGCGGATGAAAGGAGGAAGGTAATAATTTGCTTGTAGTCAACCTTGTTTGGTTCTTTTGAAGTTCAAAAGTATATTCTTTCCTAGGAGCAAAAGCGAACACTTATTCTTCATGATATGAGCAACCATGTGATTGATTCATATCCTGCATTATGTCTAAATCTCTGTTTAAAGAAAATGGAAAATTATGTTTATGATAACAGCAAGAATCTTTGAGGATGGCATGCCTTTACTTGCATGGGATCTAGCTGTGAAACTCTAAAGTGGTAATGACTATGGTATCTTGCATAAATAAATTCCTATGAAAAGAGTTCTCCTATCTCATGGAACCTCTCCAGGTTGTATCCTGATATTTACAGTCCTATACATGTGAAATAATATAATTGATTATTAGAGAAATATGTAGCATAATGGTCTTAGGCTAATCAATCATTGTTTAAAATTTTGGTTGGAAGATGATTCTTTCATATGGTATACAAGCCAAACTGTAAGTCCGTTCTCTTGCCTGAAAGTCCTCTCTTGCACTACCTTTGTCTCTACTTCTGGCCAATTGTACATTATTTCCACATGTTCTATTACTCTGGACTTCTTTCTCTCAATTTAGCTCATCGAACCTTTAACTCTGCGTCATGTTTACTTCTTTGAGCAACTGTTTCTGTTATGCACATTTTTTCTCAACTTGTTAACCTCATTTTCTCCACTTCAGGCCTGCACTTCATTGAGTTACCTGGGTTTCTTGGAAGAAAATTTAAAAAATTATACTTCAAGAAAAAGAAAGAAACCAAAAGAATACTAGGTCACATGTAAACTTTAAAAACCAGATTGCACATTCGTCAGAGTTTCATCAGAGTGTTAGAATTCAATATTAGTCTATCAGAGTTTTCAAAGGGATTATTATGATCTTTGGCTATCCAATTCCAATCCGTTGGATTAAGGTTTTGAGTTGAGAAGTTGTACTGCTAAAAAGATGAGCAATTTCTTCCTTCCAGTCCATAAGAGGATATTGCCTATGGAAATCAATTTTGCTGGTTACTCCCAATTCCCCGGAAGAAGATACTACAAATTTTATGAGGATCAAGTTCCTTCTCTAAATATGAGCAAAAACTATGAACCTGATTCATCCTCTTTCATCCTAAGGGACCATCTTTAATGTTCTCCATACTTGAGCTAATGTATCAAAGAGCAAGTTTCTGACTATATAATAAATAACTATTATAAGAATCTGGGAACAGTCATGCTAAAAAATCCAATTTATACCAAACAACCCATATTGCGGAAGTGTGGTTTTTAGTTTTTTACACATACTTGATGTAGTAAATCAGCTAAACCTTCAGACTGTCTTCTCAACTTTGAATATGAAGACGTCCCAGAACTAGCATTAATCCACTCTTGCTCTTCTGGTTCTGCATCCTCCTACTCCCTCTGTCCAATTTATGTGATGGACTTTCTTTTTTATCCTGTCCTAAAAGGAATGATCCTTTATATATCTAGAAACAATTTGACTTCAAAATTCTCATTTTACCCTTAATGAGATGATTTATAGTCACACAAATATCTATGGCTTGTTTTAGACCACAAGTTTTAAAAGTCTTTCTTTCTTTCTTAAACTTTGTGCCCAGTAAAAGGCATCACATAAAATTGGAAAGAGGGAGTATATGTTAGTGAGCTCCACTGATTTGCCCTTTGGCTTGATTGTTGATCACACCCAACTTTAGTTTTAAAAAGGATAAGTGGTCTCTACAAATTTAACCTGGCTTATAAGTCCAGGATCCATCCCACGGAGAGCTTAGGACTAGTTTTAGCTGGTTTAACTATTAAGTAAACTAAGTTGAACTATTACCAACTAATGTTTTTCTAATTGATATCTATTGAATTCAAAATAAAACAATGATTACAGATTTACTACTATTAAAAATATGTAGAGTAAAGTCAATTAATAAAAGGCCTAGGATCATGAATTCCCCAGAAATGAAATAGCTACTGCTTCTCTATGGATCTTGTCTGATTATTTTTATTGATCGCGAGTCACTAGATTATCGCTAGAACTTCCCAATTACTAGCGCAATAATTTCCTCAAATTACTCTCCCAAGTTATTTCAAGGATTCCTGTAAGCCAGCTCACAGAAGATCACAATAAGACTGAATTGTTCCTAATTATAGTCTTTATATCAAGCTAATTAATATCTTAATTAATCTGAAATATTGTTGTTCAACTAACACCAAATCTTGAAGTTCCTTTCCCAAGTTTAGGTCAAGAATCTAGGGCACATTCATTTGAGAGCTCTTCAATCAAACACAAGAAATTCGTTGTTGAAACAAATAAAAACAGATTCAGGCCTAATTTATCAAGAAGCAGCCAAATAGTTCACCTAATGAAAGGTTCCATCAAAACTTTAGATAAAGGAATAAGGACACTAGCCAATATCATTCTACTCATAAACCCAAAGTTATATAACAAGAGAGAATCCATTATCCTTAGAAGAAGGAAATAAGAAAAGTTTACGAAAAACCCTTTAGATCTTCAGTTAGAATGGACTCAAGGCTTTTCCCAGCTTGACCTTGCTTCATCAATGGTGATCTCTTGGCTTCCATGTCGAGATGCGGCTGAAAATAGGCTAGGAAGCATTTATGTCTGCTAAAAATTATGTGTGGACAAAACTAGCCCTCAGAGTATAAGCCTAAAATTTTGGCATGCGCGCCATACCCCACGGGACTTATTCAGTTTCTTTAAATCTTCAAATTCAGTCCAAAAATCTCCCTTCTTTTTTCTTTTTTATTTTTGGATAATTGTGGTGTTCGGGCCAGCTTGCGCGCACCTCGACTAATTCCACGGGATACTTTTCACCTCCCACCAGCAATAGGTACTAGGTAACTTTGTCTACCAAAGCTTTCAGATGGGAAGAAATCACCTAGTGTTTTTCCCTCCGTTGGAATTTGAACTTGAGACCTTCTGGTTCTGACCCACTTCATTGATCATTCGACCACATCCATGGGTGCAAATCTCCCGAATTGCTTCCTTTCACCTTGTTGGTTTCCTAATCTTTAAATAAATATTTAAGCCAAATCAGGTATTTTTAACAGCTAAAACACTCCGAGGACATTAAAGTGGAAAATAATTGATACTAAAACATAGATAAATATTCCAAATATCAATAGTCAATGACATAGTCTGGATCAGCTCAAGAATTGTATCTAACTTATGAAGCTACTGTGAATTTAAGCAGTGTTGGGCATCACATGAAAACTAATAGTTGGAACGAAGACGCATTCTTAGTTCATTCCTAAAATCTGTGAAGGAAGCAGATCTTGGTTTTATGGTTTAACATTTCATGTTGCATGTTTCAGTATTTTCCATGACACATCAGTTTCAAATTTTGAACTTATAGTACTGAGTCCACAGGAAAGCACATGTTGCCATCAGCCAATTCAGAGGCCTTAACAGCAATGTCAAAGAAACTGGCAAGAGACATGCAGGGCAACCAGAAACCAGATCCATTCAAGTATTGTTGCTCCTAATCCAACATGGAGCCAATGGCCTCAATCTTCTGGAAGCCCAGCATGTTATACTTGTCGAACCACTGCTGAATCCTGCAGCAGAAGCACAAGCCATTGGCAGGGTGCATCGAATTGGGCAGGCACATAAGACTCTTGTTCATCGTTTTATAGTATGTCTCTCTATTCTATTCTTCATTAATATTGAGTTGGGAGTCTGACTCTAACTCTGTATGTAATCAGTGTTGTGTCTCAAATTTGTGGTACGATGACTGACCTAAAACTTGTACTTGCATTGTTTTCTAAGTAACAGTTGAGCTGTCTGTCATGTTAAATATAACCTGAATCTCCTATTAACAACATGAATCTTGAATGAATGTGTCAACTCCATTCATATGCAAAAAGTTGATGAAACTTAAAACTGCTGAAGTGACTTTGGATGGAGACCTATTTCGGTCTTTTGATATGAATTTAAAGCTTGTGTTGCTGAGATGACCTATATTTATCTGTGCACTGGATGCTTCCAGGGATTCTTTGTTATACTTTTATCAACCTATTTTTGCTACATAGTATCATGCAGAGGGGATTATTCATAACTCTCTTTTTTTGTTGGTTTCTATCATAATAGGTGAAAGACACAGTTGAGGAGAGCTTATATAAGTTGAATAGGAGCAGGAATATCGGTTCATTTGTTAGTGGCAACAGAAAGAATCAAGATCAGCCCATTTTGACACTAAGAGATGTTGAATCCTTATTCAGGGTGGCACCTTCCACTGATGAAAAGGCAACTGGGAGCTTGACGCATTTGCCACCTTCTGTTGCTGCTGCTATAGCTGCTGAGAGGAGGCTTAGTGAACGGACATCTTGTCAAGAGCCACCAGAGCACTGTTGAATTTACAAAAATTGTGCTGTTAAGGAACAACTAGGAGTCCGCGCCATGATTCTCTTTCAGTCTTATTTCGATGTGTATCCCCATGCAGGACCGGAATAAAGGATTCATTGATTATCATGACATCCATTAGCAGCCAAAGCAGTGGAATGTGCTGGAGAGAGTGACTGTTGCTGCTGGCAAATTTCCAGTAGTCAGCTCATTTGTCATGATTATCTTGTATATAGTGATTTCCTTGATTCTCTGTACAGTCTGTGTGTAATAATCGCTTAGCACACCAGGTATAACAGTTAGATTTTGTAGTATATGTTTTTCGACCAGTCTATAGAGCAGTGTCATTTTTATGTTGAACTCTCTTTTTCCTCTCTGTGGTTCACTTGCAACGTTCAAAGCGCCTCTAGTTTATGTTTTTTTTTCTTTCCTATTTTTGATATCAAGACGCTAAACTTGTTAACTCTTTATTTTTCGACCAGCTAAGGAGTTGTTTGGTTATTGGGATAAGGATACTAATCTCGGGATAGAATATGAGATTGTATTTATCTCATGTTTATTTATAAGTATTAGCTAGAGGTAGGATACATTTTAGGGGTTTTTTTTCACTTTTAGCTTGTGCCAGAAACTATTTATATTTGATAGCCGAAAACATGTATAAAATTTGTATATAACATATACAAAATAATATATATTTTTCGACTATTATTTTAATAACAGCTATACAATATCATTTTTTCTCCAATTTTACTATATTAAAATGGTGGGATTAACTACCCCATAGAGAAGGTGGGATAGCTAATCCACCCACTTCGTAACCAAACAACCTCTATGGGAATGAATAAAGTAAAACTATTATGGTTTATGGTAGAATAAATAAGATTCTTCAACTATTAATTAGAAATTTCGGGATCGAACATTGAGTATGAAAAAAATCTTGGTTCGAAGCACTTTCTCTTTTAATGAGCTTTATGCAGCGTGAATCAAAAGTAAAATATAGGTGCCAGCTAAAATGTTTCAAAAAGGTGAATAGGAATAAAAATTACTCTTCAAAGATGATAAATAAACCATGTAAAATTTCAACTTCTTGACCAAAATTATTCCTTATTTTTGACGATAGGTCTAATTTTGTCTTTCCAATATGACCTTGATGCACGGGCACCATGCCACCATGTATCCTTTACGGAAAAGGATCAAATATACCCATGTACTATCAGAAAAAGTTTAAATGTACTTTTCGTTATACTTTGAATTCAAATATACCCCTATCGTTATATTATTGGTTCAAATATACTCCTTTTCCGTTAAGTTTGTCCAAAGTGGGCATTCAATCCTACATGGTACTGACATTTGATGAGGTGGATGTCACATGACTTGCCACCTCATTGCCCCTAACTAATTCCCCTCGCTTCTATTTTTTTTTTCCACCACTAAAATTTTCTTCCCCTCCACCGCTATTGTCACCATTACCGCTACCATGAAAAATATTGTATTTCAAATTTTAGTCTTTTATATATGGATTAGGGGCGCTGAGGTGGCATACTATGTGACATCAACCTCATCAAATATCAGGATCATGTGGGATTAGATGTCCACCTTGTACAAACTTAACAAAAGAGAGTTATATTTGAACCAATAATATTACGACAGAGGTATATTTGGGCCCAAAGTATAACGAATGATATATTTAAACATTTTCTCACAGTATAAGGATATATTTAGCCATTTGCCGTATCCTTTTAAGTTTGCAAAAAATTGAGCACATTTAGTTCAAGTAATAACGAAAAAACTCACGTGACATTTATGAGGTAGGAAAATGTTTCCCCATGTC